GCCAATCCCACAGTTGATGATCCCCCTCCTCGCCCCAGGCCAGATGGCAGATCCAGGGCTTCAGATCCCTCTGAAAGGCCAGGAGTGAGGAGGCCAATCTCACCTCCAGGGGCAAGATATTCCAAAGGGTGGGGGCTACCTCAGAGAAGGACCGTCTTCTGGACCCCACTAGTTGGAGTTCTTTTGCCAAAGGGGTCCGGAGCATGCCCTCTCTGTGTGATTGGGTGGGACATGTCATCATTGTTGTAAAATGCATTGAGCTCTTCTGTATAAAGAAAGGAAAGGGTTTGAACAAACCAAACAGGAAGTCTGTGGCCAGGGCTTTGGCTGACAAACATGTCAGGATGTAGGGGTTTTTCCTGCCTGACCTCCTTTGTCAAGTCATGCCAGAATTGTCCACTCTCAGGCTTGTCTTCTTCACTGATGATCTTCACATTGGTCCCATTCATTTTCTCTTCTGCATGAATGTTCCCCACAGACATACTTGCTTCCCACCTGTAACCTCCTCCTGTCCCTCAATGTGTGTCCTTGCTTTGTTCTGACCTGTGTGCTCTTCTCACTTTCCCTTTTCACCATAACCTGCACTGCTCCGCAATCCCTAGCACCGTGCAAGCAAATGTTGGAGAAGATACAAATTGGGGAGACAAGTAGCTGTTGTCAGAAGTAGCTGTTTACACTGGCATGCCTATTCAGGTCTTTGGCCCCACTCCAGCACACTGTAGCAGTGTCATTAGCTTCTGAGGAACTGTGCTAGTTCTGTTCTGCAGCATGGCATTAGCTTCAGGATTGTGTGGTACATTGTGTTTTTCCGCCCCCTTTTTAAAAAAGCACAATGAAGAATGACAGAGTATTTCGACAAGGATGCGATAAATGGCAGAGTCCTGACTACAGTAGCAATTAACCATTCCCTATTACTTTGCCAAGGTAGAGGATAATATCCCTGTCCATTATTACTCTTAGGAAAACTTCTTTTTGTCTGCCCTGCCCTACTTACAGATAATACTGCAAGCTGTCCAGTTTTCTCTCTGAAGTATCATTTATTTATTTGTTTCAATTAAATGCTCCCTTTGACCTACCTTCTTCTCAGTTAACTACATGAAAAATAAACCTTCTTTTCAGTGTACATCACTATCTGGGCCAGTTTAAAATTAATTCAAGAAACTACATTTGCGGTTTTGATATTATGATTCTTGTGTATGTATGATGCACGTCTCCTATTGTACTATGCTGTACTTTTGTTGTTCAGATACTATAATCTGGAGAGATTTGGAGAGACTACTGATCCTATACTTATCTGGGTATATTTTTCAATACTATTCAATTTCATAAGCTTATCAAGTTTTACTACAATCAACTGAACTGTTTCTGTTGAATCACCCACTTCAGAAATACATTTTATAATTGTGGTCTTCATCAGTGGAACGTGGCTTTTAGTTTGCTACTGAACACAGTGAGGTGCCTTTGCTTTATTATAGTCAACAATGAATTGGATTGATATTTTAGTGTATCAACTGTTAAGTATAATGAACAGAGGCTTTGTCTTTATTTCATTTGGATATGCAGTTTTTGAAGAAAGAGAGGTTAATATCAATCTGTTTATTGACAGTTTATACTCTTCTAATGTGTAATATGATTTTCCTCTTAAAAAGCTCAGGACATAAATAATAGTTTTCCATTTAATTTTGAGTTTGGTTAGGTCAGATGAAGAGCATGTGATCACAGTCACCTAGCAATAGTGCAGATATAGTGGAGTTGATAATTCTACTTGCCCTCCTGGTGGCTGTTTCATCACCTCAGAGATAAAGGTGATGAGAAGAGCCATGGAAGTTTTCTTTCTCTTGGATCTGGAAAACCAGGGAGAAAGGAATCAACCTCATAGTTGCAATTAACGTAAGAATTTATTTTTAAAGTCTCCAGTCTATTTTGTTTAGGAAACACATGCACAGTAAAAGTGTAGTTAAGCAGGGCAACAGTCAAAGGTACAGAGACAGTCTTCCTTCAGCACAACTGGAAGATCACAGCCTAGAAAGGCCATGTAGCAGCCTAGAAAGGCCATGCTTTAATTCTGATTCCTGCACTAAGCATGGATTGGACTTGACCTAATTGGCTCCTTCCAATTCTCTGATGACATGTATATGCCTCTGAGGGCAACAGCACAATTCAAAATGACTTTGACAGATTTGAACACCTGGGCAAACCCTACAGGATGTGATATGCATATGGTCCATTTTAATTAAGATGCAGAGATATAAGATTGGGAAGACCTGGTTTGGTGGCAATGCGTGTGAAAGCAGGAACTAAAAGTCCTAGTGGGCCACCAGCAGAATGTGAAGAAGTCTATTCTTGGTTTTATCAGAAGCGTTGCATCCAGTTTATTGGAGGTAATAGCTCCCTTGAACTATTTGTTTATTTACTTGTATACTGCTTGATTCCTGACAACTCTGGGCAGTTTACAATTGAAAAGTTAGAAAAAAAAAAGACATGATGAGTGGCCCAAAAACAACATATACAAACAAACAAACAAAACCAATTAAACATCCCACCACCACCAAGCAGGGGCTCAACCTTCACCCTGCCTCCAAGCCTGGGAGAAAAGTCAGGTCTTCAGTAGCTTTAAAAGGGACACAAAGAAGCTAGAGTAAATTTAAAGGAGAGCTACCAGGATGATAAAGGATCTGAAAACCAAGCGTAACAGAAACAGTAAAAGGTGCTGGGCATGTTTAGTTTGTAAGAGAGAAAAATAAGGGGAGATATTATAAATATCTAAAAGGCTTTCCCATGCAAGAGGGGCTTGACCTGTTCTCTGATGAAATTGACAACAACCAGTGGCTTAAAATACAAAGAAAGATCCAAGCTGAATATTAGGAAGAAGTTCCTAGTGGTTAAGAACTATTAAGCAGTGGAATAATCTGCTTAAGAATAATGGACTTCTTGCTGGAGGTTATTAAAAGAGGGCTGAGTGACTACCTGTCGGATGGTTTAGTGGATTTCTTCAAGGAGCAGGTGGCTGTAGTAGGCAAGCTGTAAGGTTCCTTTGAACTTCTACATCTTATCAGTCTATGTTTGACTTGATATATTCCAAGTTTGAATCTGGAGAGCAGGAGTTTCTGTGTGACCTCTCAGAGATACTTCAGGATGGTAGGGACTGAGACTCCAGGTTTGTGTGCACTTACTTTGGGAGTAAAACAGTAGCAGATTGTCAAGAATACTTGGGTAGGTTTTCATTTAGGGAGTCAGGCAGAACTTTGGGATAGGTATCGTGTATTCTTTCTTCTGTTATTTCCAGCATAATTTTTTATTTTCACCTGAAAAAGAGATGATTAAAATTGATAATATTGTGATTTCCCCCCAAACCTAATTTGCACCTTTATAACTGTAGGATATGTGTTTGTTCACTGCAACTATCATTTTTAAATGTTTGCAGAAGTAACAAACAATAGTGTGGCAGGAGGAAAATATTTGAGCAAGATATGCTGTGATGGACATGAGTTTTAAGATCTTTATAAATTTGTGAACCCAAATATCAATATTAGATCTTAAGAATAATGTTTAGAAATTCTGGATTAGGGGATACTTTAAAAAATGATCTATTTGTTTTGTATTACTCAGGGTAAATTTTCTGCAAATCAATTCCCTGATGTGTCTAGTATTAAAAGATGTTCATTGTCAGCAAGTCTTGTCCAGAGCTGTGCTTTGCATAGAAATGAAGCAAAGAAGAAGGTGATGGCATCATTGCAACACTTTAAACATAATATTCTTTTTCACTGACAGGTTAATGACTTCAGAGAGTGAAATTAGATTTGTCCACAAGCAGATGGGCTTAGTGCCAGGCTGGGGGGGAGCTGCCAGGCTTACCCAAATCCTTGGCAGCAGCCCTGCCCTCAAGTTGTTGAGTGGTGCTGTGAAACTGGATCCAGAGAATGCCCTTCATATTGGCCTGGTAGATTCCATCTTGTCCTCGTCTGATGAACTCGAGTCTCTGAGAGAAATGCACACATGGCTTGAGCTATACACAATGGGCCCTGCTGAAGTCATTCAGGCTGTGAAGAAAGTTGTTTCAGCAGGAAGAGAGCTACAATTAGAAGCTGCCTTGAGAAGAGAAAAGGAGATATTTGGAACAGTTTGGGGTGGTCCTGCTAATTTGCAGGCATTGGCTCAGAGAACAAAACATAAATGAGTAATATATAAAAGGAATAGTTTTGATCTTACTTTCTTCAACTGAAACAGCTGCTGCCAAAGATGACTTGTGGGAAGCTTTCCAAACCTTATGAACTCAGTAGGTGTTAACCTTATTAGACCAGCTCTCCTGAAATGCCACTGGCACCCCATTGGCAATCAACTAGAGGTGTCACCCCAGGCTTTTTTTTAAACAATACTCCCCTCTTCCTCTACTGGTCTTGTCTCCCTCCTTTCCTTTCTTCAGACTCCTACCCAGATGGTACATCCTGATATCTGTAAGCTCCACTTGGAAATTAATGTACATAAAGTAGCATGCTTATAGTGTAAGAACCATCAGACTTGAGAAAATAGTTTTCCACAGAATTTTCAAATGCTGGCATTATGATGTGTGGCTTGTACGTATAGACATTGTGTTGAGAAGCTGCCTTTTCAAACAGGTTTAGTTAACATTGGTATCCTCAACTCTAAAGTCCTAGAGATGATCATGAGTAATTTATGATTCTTACCCGTCATGCCTTTGAATAACTAGTTCATTGTGAATTGACCCATAACCCCAAATTGAAACTGCAAAAATATCAAATACTTTTTCTTTGTAAGTAGTTCTTTCTGAACTGGTTATTTATAAGCAAAGCCCCTGCCTTGAAGCCTCATGTCTAATAACTGGGTTCTTATTCTCTGAACTAAGCTCTTGGAGACATTCACTTTCCATGTGAACTTCTTACCTTCACTTTATATATTTATAAAGTTGATGTAAGGAAGAAATGCTCACTCTGCTGCATGGCAACATTTGACATTTTGATATTCATGCTACCATTTGCCATGTCTGTGAAATTTATTTAATGGCATCTAGTCCATGCATCATCGCAGTATTTGATGGTACCATCACTCTAAGGATAACATTCTGTTGACTTTGCCTGTTCTACACTGTACTTAGCTTGTATGAGGAAGCATCTTCAAAGTGGTTTTCAAATGTCCATATGCAAACAACGTTCACTTGCAATGAATAATTACTGAACAAAGACATTGAGAGAGGTATTGAGAGAGAGGGAGAGAGACTGACTCTTTTAGGCTGAGATTCCTACATATCTCATGCTAGAAGTAAAGTACACCCTACATACTCCTTGTTCAGTTTATACTAGCTGATCAGTCATGAACAGGGCTATGCAGTGCTTCTGATGCATATCCCAAAAGTGCTTTGGAATACATGGAGTAGTAAATGGAGCATCTGTCTATAACTTTTTACAACAGCAGTTCATTTTCCCAGGACAGTGTGGCGATTGGACTGTGTTTTCTGAAGGACCATTCTGGAATCAAATCCAAAGAATTGCACAGCCTTAAAACTAATCTTTGTGAATAAGCTTAAATTATAATAGCACGTTCAACAATCTAGGGACCTGTTCAGGCAATAATTGAATCTTTGCTTGCTGGCTGAGACTGGATGCTGACAGCACAACCATATGTATATCTGCTCTGAAGTATCAGTATATTCCATTGAACTTACTCGTAGACAGGTAAGTATATACGGTACTGTGCAAAAATTTTAGGTAGGTGTGAAAAAATGCTGTAAAGTAAGAATGCTTTCAAAAATATATATTGTAA